CTCACTGCAATTATTCAACACAACATTCCCAACTAATCAGTTTAATATTAACAACAAACATAATCATTAAAATAATTTTCATTTTTTTTAATCCTCTGATTATTTTCTCAGTATTACTATTAATTAAACCAAATAAATAACTGTCACATTTAAAGATATATATATTTTCAAACCTATTTTTATCATACAAATTAAAATTTTCTCGTTTTTTTTTTTTAGCACTGATTTGCTAACGAAGTGACTTCCGGTGGGAATAAGAGTGTAATAAAATGCAATACGGATGCACTTGAAGAATTTCCATGAGAGCGGTGACCTTGGTATGGCCCCACGGCGACTTTTTTTGCTGTAGGTCTCACTTCCGGTGCAATGATCGAGCTATTCACCACCGCTCGATTCATTCCATCCATTTTATATCTCACATCATCTCGTGTCTCAATTATATATAAATTTACATGTTTTTTTCTATTATTTAATTTAAAAGTGTTTAAAATAAGAATCGACTTTCACAGTTTATATTTTATTATTTCTAGCGAATTGCTTGCGTTATATTGAGTGCAGTGTAATAATATTGAAAAAACAAGCGGCGCGTAACAGCAAAGTTATTATCGAGTGCATCGAAAACAGTAAACGGCCTTATTTTCAATCGACATAAAAAAAAGTGTACGAAAAAGAGAAAAAAAAAAAAAACAAAATTCATTCATTTTAAGAAAAAGCCTTATCAAAAGTTATTTTTTAAAAATTTTTTATCGATACGATCAATCGATTATTGATCACCAGATATAAACAAAAATATTTTGTCATTTCGATCGATAATAATCGATTCTTTATTTTAAATAAAAAAAAAACAGTAATTTTGCAATACAGATAACAATAAAATAACTCTATATATATATATACATATTATAACAAAAACGTTAAAAAAGAACTAATATATACGGCGTAAAGATAAAAATACATGGTTGAATGATAATAAATAATTGAGTTTAAGAAGGAAAAGGGTTAATTATTTGAAACGATAATCGATAAACATACACATACAGATAAATATAAATATATGATAAATGTACATGTATTCTATGTATGCATAGAAATAACGATTAAATTTTTAAACGAAATCGACGAGGGCTCTAGAAATAAGCCTCGATACGTTATATGTATGTATATACATTTAATATACAGATATACGACTTACACACATACATGTTATACATTGATGCTTGAAAATTGAACCGGCGTCTATCGACACAGTCTCGTCGTCGAGTTGAGCATCTACGAAATTAATATCGATTCGATACTGCGTCGGTTCCTTTTTCCCAACTCCCCGAAGTAAAAGAGAAAAAAAATAAAAAATATACAAAAAAGCAAAAAGGAAGCTTTAAAAAAATTGGAAAGAAAAAAAAAGTAAATAGATAGAACGGGCTAAGAAGTACGAGAGAGAGAGAGAGAGAGAGAGAGAAGAGTAGGAAAAAAGGCGGGAGGGTCCGGCGTTATCGTTAAAGTATATGCTAGACGGAGAGTGGAAGTGAGAGAGGGGGACAACAAAGTTGAAACGAAGAGAAAAAGAAAGAATGAGAGAGAGAGAGAGAGAGAGAGAAGAAAGCAGAGGGACATGGTAAAAAAATAAAAAATTTTTCCTTCGAAACGAAATTTTTTACTCATTCCGCCTCTTAAGACTCCAAGCGAGAAGCCAGATAAAATTTTTTAATTAAATTTTTCAATTTATTCCCCGTTAATAACGAAGAAACGTTTTTTGTTAATTTAATTATTTCCGCTGTGGACGTATATTAAAACTATATACGTAATGGCGGGACTTGAATGATATTAACATGAAATATAAAATAAGATTGAAAAAAAAACACGGAAAAATGATGGAAAATTGACGAAACAATTATTATAAATATAAATCATTTTACTCACTTGACAGTTATTTTAGATGTAATTTGAGTAAACAAGATATTTAATCCTTTATTTTTGCAAGTGTGTACTAATATATTTAATAGACAAATCAAAATGATATCTTCATACGTTGTGTGACACTCAATAAAATAAAAAAATATAATCACAGACACACACACACATTTGTATTCCACAGAAGAAGATATTCAATTAAAGACACTAATTTCACAAAGTTTAGTATTAAACTCCATGAAGGAGAAGAAAACGCTCTTCTATGTGTTTTGATGCATGGAAATACCAAATAAAAAAGATTTGTCACTCGTTAATATTCATTTTAATATATCGACCACATTATCGATACAATTAGTACGGGGATAGTACGTTGTTGAGATAGTGATAAACATGTGAAAAAGATGTTTATTGTTTTATTATTATTTAACATACAAAAAAACGTGCGTGACAAGATGGCGTTAAACCCGCCCGCACACGATCAGGTGGAAAACACCGGAATGTCGTCTACGAAAGATCGACTGAACTGCTCTGTTGAGCCGAGAGAAACTCAGTGGGGACGCGCGAGAGTGAATAACTTTGGCTAATAGTGGGGATAAATAAAATATGGTGGGGGACATTGATGATGCCTAGAGTGGTGGGGAATAGAGTATGGGACATTTGGGAAAGGGAGGAATTTCTCCTCAATACTTCGCATTACTCCGTAACCCTTCGTAGATCCTCGGAAAAGTTCCGACGCGCAAATTTTATGTATTAATTTTTTCCTTTTTATTCACTTCTTTGTTTTATTTTTATTTTTAACGGTTCTCTCGACGTTTCATGAATATTGTTCGAGGCTATTTTGTCGTCTGTTTTTTATCTTCAGCAAACCCATGAGGAATGTAATCAATATAAAGATTGGAAAATGGTTATTATATTTATCGAAATCTACTTTACCGACTGAATGAAATTTAAATTTTTTCTTAAATTTGCATTTCAAGGGCATTTGTTACAATTTTTGGTAATTATTAAGATTAATATACACGTTTCTGGTGACATTTAATTTAATAATACTGTTAAATTCGTCATTTTGTACAAGAATATGTACATAAAACGTGGAAAACATAATTAACATGTACTTTTTTATGTCTGAAGATTCAAATAGATGTAATGATTCTTCAGTGATGGTGATATAAGAATGTTTTTATTTTTCTTTACAAATTTAAAAATAAAATTCGTAATGAAATTATTTTATTATAAATCATTGATCTAATGAAAAAATAAGAAATTTGAACAATAACCATATTTGAATGCAGTCATGGCAAAAATATATCATAAAAAATATTAAAGAGAGTCAAGGACCTTTTGTTAAATATGTTGGAGTCTATCGATCGTTTGTGATCGCGCGAGGCGTTGTAGAGAAAGGCAGGGGTAATTTTTTTCCTTTATGGACACTCTCTCTTGATATATATATATACTTGATGTATATATATTAAAAAAAAAAAAAGTTAATAACGAAATAAAAAAACTCAATCTCTAAATATAAAATCTCTTGATACTTTTACAATGATAACAGGAAGCCGATAGGAAGAAGCAAAATATCCTACAATAAAAGATGAAAGGAACAAATAAATAATACAAATGATTGTTAATGTATATCTAATGAAAGACGAAGAGGAAGACATTGATTGTCTTGCGAAAGTTTCATAGTAATAAATGAGGTTAGACGTTCTATCATGCAAGAAAATCTAGTTTATATCATCTCTTTTCATCATAAAATAAGAACCAGTTATTATCACGTTTGTACGGTAATTTCTTGTAACGTCGAAAAAAAATTGGAAAGTTGAAAGAATTAAAATATTTTCTAAAAGATAATTAATATATTATCAATTACAATTAAATGTCACTATTTACTGTGAAATAGAATCAGAAATAATGTCTAAATCTCACAGAAATAGTAATTAATCATTTTTTACATTTTAATTCCAATTTTTTTTTCCCGCCAAAACATGCGCGGTAAAATGACTGGCCCAAATGTGTCATTTTTCAGTCATCATAACCTACTATTATATATTTCAATAATGCATAGCATTATATTATTTTGTTGATAGTCAAGCAAACTAAAGGTAATAAAAAAAGTCAATGAAATTTACCTTGACTGATGATACGCCATAGGGGATTCCCCAACTCGGGTGATAAAGGCCTCAGAGTGAGCGGCTTTTTAAAAGATATTTCTCTATTATGATAAATAAGTGTGAAATGACAAAATGTTTGCTGGAAAAATTCCATCGCTGATGTCGTCATGAAACTCGGACGACTACTGAATGCATTCGTCAATACTTTAATAAAATTCCAGAGTGAAATAAAAATAAAATGTGAAATCTGATAAAGATAGAAAATGAGTTGGTAGATGGAGAAATGACGAGGTTGGAAAAAGGTGAAATAGCAAGCGCAAATCAAAGGACAGTAATTAAAAATCGACCATGGATAATTAAGTCGCCATATTGTGTGCCTTTTGCCACTGTTTCCAATCAATCTTAATTTAATAATCAACCCAGCCAATTAGGTGTCGTTAAATTATTTGCTGCATTCTCATTGGTTTATTAATTCAGATATTTATTTTTGTTTCAAACTTTTTACACAGATTTTTCTTTTAATTTTTATCCTTCGTCACAAATTTCTCACTTTCGTTTCGTTTTTTTTTTCTTTCTCCCTCTCTCCCGTCATTTCATCACTGAGATAAACTTTATTTTCCCACCCTCCACCTCTCTTTCTTACTCAAACATTTTTAAATTATTATCAAAATAATGTTAAATTTCGATTTATCTGAAAAAATATTTTTTGATTTATTTGAATTAATCAAAATTAACTAATTTTTCCTTTATTTTTGAAACAAATTTTTTAAACATTTTTTTACATTTCATCAATGAAAATTGCAAAATTTTGTTATTTATTCGTTTTAATTTAATCAACCATGTCTTTAAAATTTTCATAAATAAAAAAAATTGAGTATCTATCGGAAAATGACAGAATTTTGATTAAATTTATTTTTCTGGCTAAATAGAGAGTTTTGTTATCGACTAAATCGATAAAGGAGAAATATATATTGTGTTTACCGACGCAGATAAAATGAATTCCACTTTAACCTGTTTGCATCATAAATCAACGTAAACTATATATCGATTATCTCATACGGTAGACACATGCACACTTTTTTTTACTCGGTTTTTCACTCATAAAAAACAACAAAACTATTTTGAAAGTATTAAAAAATTATCATAATACATAAAAGCGTACTGAAAATGGTAAGAAATAATAAATTTACCTAAAAAATCATTTCAAATTCATTAAAAATATATTCTTGACTAGCTTTTTTTTGGAGTAGTTTCTCGTGTGTACTGTCAAATGTCAAATTCTAATTTTATATTTTTAATATTTATGGCAAATAATCAATACGGTAAAATACAAAATATTTTGTTTATTATGAAATGATAAATTTAATTTATTCATTTGAAGTTGAGTGTAAATTAAATAATGTTATTGTATATTGTGTATGAGTTTTTGCACAAGTTATAGTGGTTGAAATAACAAAATATTCTAAAAAAATTTTTTCTAAAAATAAAAATCATTTAAAAAAAAGTAAAAAACAAAATGGTCTCCAATGTCTATGAAAAAAACTGTAAAATAGTTGATAAAAAATAAATATATTTTCTAACCTTCTTTTTGATGAAATAATTTTTTGCAGGATGTCACGGCATTCTCAAACGATGATTTTGTGGTTAAAGATTGGATTAATACAATGTTTGAGTGTACAGAAGCACAGCAAGACAAAGAGGTGAGTCATAACTCATATTTCACCGTGATTGTTAATCAAAAAAATTCTAAAAAATCTGATAAATGAGGAAAGTGAAACAGTAAATAATTTAATCGCGAAAAGTAAAGTTAAAAAAAAGTTGGAAAAGAATGAAATAAACAAAACAGAGATAACGAATTGGTAGTAAAGACAGAAACAAAACAAGAAATAAAATGACTATTTTTTTTCGATTTTTCGTTAAGCTTAGCACTTTTTTTTCTATGTCAACCCCGCCCCCTATTTTTTAAAATACTTCGTAATTTTGCCGTTCTAATAACCCGACGCTGCTAGTTTATTCCACCTATTTTTGACATAGATCGTTTATTTTCATTTGCCTAATATCCACATGTTTCATTATTTAGCATTCTCCCAATTTTATTTATTTCCAATCTACATTTAGTTTTTGAACCAAAGCATTATCAAAAAAATTTTAAACTCAATTATTACAATAATCAATTGCAAATATAATAATTTATTAACAGAATTAAAAAACTTGATCATTCAGGCATTCGTATCATCTTTGGTGATGAAACTACAACTGTATGTGCAACAAGTAAATGGATCCCTGGAGGAAACAAATCAATTGATTCTATCGAGTCTGCCTCGCATTTTCCGTGACATACAATTGTTGCAACAAGAGGCTGTTGCTTTGAAAGATAAAATGAAGATAGTCAAGGAAGAAATAGCCAAGGTTAGTGTCATCATTTCAACATTATATTTTGATTATTCCAAATTTCTAAAATCACTCATTGTATTTTTTATATTAATTTGCTTTCTATTTTAGGTGGAAAAAGACACAGTATTATCGATAAATGCATTAGAGAAAATAGATAAAATCAAAACAGACTTGGAACATGCAAAACAAAGTCTTCATGAAGCTGATAATTGGACTGTATTAGCCAATGATGTTGAAGAAGTAAGTCATTTATTACAATTATAATAATATATTATTAAAGAATTGTTTAAAAATTACTATATGGCACAGATGAACTTATATGAGCATTAACTTGATTAGTTATAAAATTATTCATTACTTGTTGACAATGAGGTACTCCCTGGTCCATTTCAATATCTTGATTTAATAAAAACCTTTTTAACTAAAGTATTACTCGGTTATTGACTGTTCTTACGTGCTCCACTGCTGTCAATGATCTTTTTTTGCTGATGAGTAATATATTACTACTATATCATGATATTTTATTGATCAACAGGTATTTGAATCTGGAGACATCGAAAGTATTGCTCAGAAACTATTGAGCATGCAAAAGTCTTTATCCATGTTAGTTACAGCTTCAGACTATGAAGATAAAAAACTTCAACTCGAAGGTCTGAAGAATCGCCTCGAAGCAATCACCAGTCCTAAACTCGTCCAAGCTTTTACATCAAGAAATTTAGGTAAGATTATCATAATCACAATAAAGACTAAACTATAAGCGAAATTATCTTTAATGAATACTGCTTTCAGAAAATTCCAAGTTTTATGTGGTAATTTTTAATAAGATAGATCGTTTGGATCAACTACTCAAGTATTATCACAACTGTTTGAAGGTTATATTAACAGATGAATGGCGAAAATTGTCAGAATTTGATCAGGAAGATGGAGGAATAACAAATTTGCTACATAAATATTACGACAAATTACTATTGGAGTTTCAAAATCAAACAAAATGGTGTAATCAACTGTTTCCATCATCATCAATCACCATTATCATCAATATCTATACTGATTTATTTCAAAACCTCAATTCCAATCTCGAAAACTGCATTTCATCGTCTCTCAAGCAACATTCGGTAGCAATTCAGTTATCGCTGTTGCTTGAACTGAAACAAATAACAAGAAATTTTGCGATGAATTTGCAGAATTCCATTCAAGTATTCGACTATAAAGCGTCTGATGATAAATTAAAACTATTAGCTCAAGCTATTTATTATCCGTACGTTAATTACGTAGCCAAGTATGATATTTATGAATTAGCACATCTAAATGATCAGTTAAAAAATCTCCATCTGAGTAACGACGATTTAAGTGAATACATCAATTCTTTGTCTTTGAGTATCTCGAAAACTCTAGACTTTGCAACCCAATCAATTAAAAGATGTGAAACTTTCACGGAAGGTTGTGGTTTCTATCAATCCATCCAAGCATTAGAGAAATTTTTGAACAATTATCTAGACAATTACATTGATTGCATTAATATTATTAAGAGACGATACAACAGCAACAAACAAGGAAAGTACGAAGACTGGAATTTATTCCAACAATGTCTGACATTGATGCAAACAATTGGTGATTTTTACAAACAGTTTGAAGACTTTCAGCGAATCTTGATGAGTAACATTACTGAAACGTACGAGAAGATAACGAAGAATGACAACAGCCCATTCAAGGATTATAAATCGTTGCTTTTAACGAAAGATAATATGAAGAATTATGATCAATTAATAGTCAAAGTTAAAAATAGAAAGATTGAAAATTTCGAAAATGTCACCGAGAAAATTCGAAAATTATGTATCGATCTACACAGTGTAACCTATGATGTTGTATTTTTACCTATTTATCAACAACTAATAACTATAAAAAATGTACCGACGTGGTCGACCTCGGCACAATCTACTTTGACGACTAGTCACTTGTGGGATTTACCGGATTACAGTTTTTCACCTCAAGAGTATATTACACAAGTTGGTCAATATTTAATGACATTACCACAACATCTAGAGCCCTTTTTACTCCGGGACAATCCAAGTTTAATTTATGCATTAAAAGCAGCTGATGCTCAGTACAATTCGGCATCAGAGTCAGGTTTTACGGGTGTTCTACTTGGGATCATTGCTAAAGGCACATGTCAAATGTTTCAGGACCAAATATTTGGGATATGTCAATTGAATTTGGTGTCTTGTAAGCAATTGGCTATTGATATTAATTATCTAGGAAATATTTTCGATGAATTAGGATTAGTCTTGTCGGATAATTTACAACAAATGTCGAAACTGCTAAGATTGAGTCCAGAAGAATATCAAAGTGGTTGCAGTGGATGTAATCCAAGGATTGTCGCAGCAGTAAGACAGATGCGTAACATTCAATCGTCTGGTTAAGAATTTAATTGTTAATAATAAAAATAAATTTTTGTAAATATTATAATAAATTTTTAATAAAATATTAAGACTGCCGTAAACAATTATTTCATTAAATGCTTGGGAGATTATTGTTTCTTTGTAGTCATTTTCTAGTTGCTGGACGGAGGATGGTACTTATTGTCTTCAAAATATATCTGTGGACTAACAAAAGAATCAATATCTAATCAACAGTTGGCAATGCTTTCAAATAGTCATGTTTATTAATTTTTTGGAAACTTTTATTTGCATTCGAGTATAAATAATTATTCGGTTACTTTCAATTTAACTGACATTTACATAAATGATGATGAGTGTAATAACAACAATATTTTGTGTATTTTTGTCGATCAATTCAATAAGTTCATTATTAATCGACGATGAATGTTATCAGTACTATTCAATATTTGGCATCCATATCAATAACATAAAAAGTGAAGGAATCTCCAATTCTACAAAATTATTCAATAAATAATATTTTATTGTTGATATTATTTCGTTTGTAGTTGAAACTTGTCAAGAAGTAGACGTCGTACATTTACCGAAAGAAGAAATTCCGCGGTTCGTTCTTTACGTTGAGGATAAAAATAAGAGTGAAATATTCATAACACCTGTTAATCAGCATGATAATGGTTCATTGATGAACAAAAGCACTCCAATTTTTGTTTTATGGAATAAGATTTTTAATCACGAAGATTCTACTGAAGGCAATTTAACCCATGTTAATGAGGTATTATTAAATAATTAACTATATTGTTTACAAACTTTACTAAAAAATGACTATTTATTATTTTTCAGTTTGCACCAGATTTGGCCAATTTTTCATTTTATCATAATCCTTCAAGAAATGTTGCTCTTGTGCTTTTCTACTATGGCTCTTTTTCCGTTGTAGTAAATATGATTTCATTAATTATGCTTTCTAATCATTATTGAACTAGCGATGATTTTTTTTTTGTCATTTGTGCTGACAGGAAGGAGTGGTTGGAGACTATACTTTACGATTTATTGAAAGAACTCAGAAATATATTTGGATGAAAATGCGACATCCTCACGAAAGGATCCCAATTAATTGCAAGTTTATTCGTTTTTTTTTTCCAATAAATTAGTAAATTAGTGAATTATTTATTTAAATAAAAAACTCTTTGTAGGGAAAAGTTTGGGCGCACCAGAAGTAAAGAATCTTGAATTATCAGATTACAATTTAAATTCTCATATAAATGCAGTCAACATATCAACTGTTGTGTTTCTTGATAACTTGTCGATTCAGTAAGACGGTATAGCATTTCTATAAGTCTGGCAAATTCATTGACATTTGTGATTTATTTTTAGGGAGAAATTACCAACTGAATTAGTAAAAAGTGTTCTTATATACTTTAATGCTGTTAATATGCTTTATGCTAATTTTACATCACCAAGGATTCAACTTGTTATCAAAGCTCTAATGGTACCAATTGTGAGTATCTGATTTAACTACTCTAAATTCTAAAATTATTTTTCGTTCAATATTATTATCTATCCTAGACAGTGTACGGTAAGACTTATGATGTACTTCAACCCCAAAAATTATTTGAAAATCATAACGATTCTTGGTTGGAACCAATAGTCATTTTCAATATGATGATGTAAGTATTTATCAAATAATTGAATTTTATATTAAAAAATAACATTAATTAGATGAATATTTAAAGCACACCTGTCTGCAAACATAGCAATTCTAAAATTTGCATTGCTCATGGTAAGTTCAACATGAATTCGAGCTCGGACCTAAGTTATTAAATAAATAATAGTTTAGTCTTGGTGCAATTAAAAATAGGGTTAATAAAAAATGTCATTATTTTTTTTAAAAAAAACTCTTTGATGCACGCATTGAATGATGTAATGAGATTTACGATTACAATTGTACCAGAACTGGACTAAAAAACAAAGACACCACTGATTAAATAGTAATGATTTGAACTAATTCAATTAAAAGGTAAGATTCATAATAATCGATTATATTGTGATGAAAAAGACATTTCGAAAAAAAGTCCATCGATATACCACATTAGACACATGGATTTGCAGCATGGTTATTCAAAAGCAGCTCAAATGTTAGCTTTATCGTGAGTATAAGAAATTTAAAATCGATTTTTCAGTTGAAAACTAATAATAAAATCGGATGGGCTTCTGTGTTTATCCAATTGATATAATAACATTTGTATGTTTGTTAATAGGTTAAACGCCTCTCTACTAGATTACACTGATGAATGCAGTGGAATAATGAACGCTTATCAAGATCCACCTGACCTACCACTTTTTTGGAGTAATTGTACTATTAACAAGCTTTCTAATTATTTCAGGTATTCTCAGTCTTGTAACCTTAATGAACACAAAACATTCGGCATTTTTTAACCTACAAAATCATCAATTAGATTATTATTGATTTTTAGGTCAGTAAATGATACTTGCTTTCGAGAAACAGCGCTATTATAATAACTTGAATAAGAAGCGTAAAAATAAAAGAAAAAAGCTCACCAGTAATAATTTTCTCCATATTAATACATAATTAAGAAAGATTTATAACGATTTGAGATTAAAAAATAAATTAAATTTAACTAAAAAAATCAACAAACACCTTTTAAACAGTGTGAAATAAACCAAACTTTGGTAATAAAATGAACTTATATAAATAAATCAAAACAATAAAATATAGAAAAAAGAATATTAAATACATGTTCATTAATTACACACACACATTGACGCCATATTGGATGTTGTTCCTCTGGGTATATTTATTGCAGATGCCGTTGCTATACTGTTCTTTAAATATCCTTTGAAGGTCACTTTATTATTCCTTCCTCGATTTCCTGTTTGTTAGACGCCTGCCGGATCTTATCTGTTAAGTTGGAGCTGAATAATTATCAAGTTTAATTATTAATCCTTAATAGAATCACGATATCCGGTGTCAAAGGAGAGATTTCCATTTGTATCCGGTTCATCAAAAGGCTTTCTTTGACTCGGAAATGCACCAACCCACCAAAGATGCTGTCTACTAATTATTAATATACATCACGATACTCAGTTATGATATAATAATCTTTCTACCTTTTCCTCAAAGCTTCTTTTTGTCAGCTTATCTATTCATTTATCAAAATTATATGTCCTATTTTTCTTTTATTGTTTGTTAATTAATTACTTATTAGAGATGATATTTTTCTAGTCATTATTTACCCTTCATTTGTTAACTAAATAAAATAGTTTTGTTATTTGTCAATTGATTGATCAACATTAATAATTACTAATTAGTTTTTATTTGTCTTAGATGTTTAATTAATAAAGGTAATTTTTTCACTATTTTAAAATACTCTTAAATTGATATATTTGCTCATTTCTTCTTTTATTCATTAAAATAAAAAGTTTTGTTGTGTTACTTTCTCCTTTAAACATTATTTATTACAATTATTTACCGACGACATTTCATCAGCTCTTTTATGTGAATTACGTGCAACAATATTTATTTATCACCGTCATCTATTTTCCATTATCTGATACCTTTTCTATCTAAAATACAAATACTTTTTTACTTCAATATTTACAGTGATTAATATTCAAATATTAGGGGATAAAGTTTAGTAGGATGGCAGTGACTTTTAAAAATAGTACAAATAAATAATGAAAATAATTTTGTTAAATCGTCTTAAAATGATTAACAATTTACTTTTTCACATTTATCTCGAAAACTGTGCAAGCCGTGAAAAAAAGTTTCAAATAAAATTTATAGAGTAAGAAATTTTTCATAAAAAAAGTCACTACACTTACATCTCCATCTCTTATAGTTTAGGTGATAAATGGCATTGAAAGTTGGATATAAAAAATTATTGACCTGAATGCAATAAAAATTAAGATTCACTTTTTCATTGAAATGTGGAACAGGTTCGGAAGGCAACAAATCTGGATTATAAGGCGTAATTAATTGAGCTTTCAATTTTAATGAAATTTTTTTCCATTCTAAAGCTGTCTTGCTATCTAGATTATCTTCTGTAGCTGTTTCATCTTCAGAGTTTACCTTACAAACAATCAGTTTATTAAACTACGTCAGCCAACGAATTTAGTATTTTTTACCTCAGATCCTGAATTCTCAATGTGCTTAACATATCCATGTTGCATACAATTGTTGTCAAACACAAAACAACCTCGACCCAAGGGCTACAATTACATTCCTATCAGTTAATTGATTAGAGTTATTTTGACAGATGACTAGTTGATACCTGATTTTTATACCAAGAACAGTAAAATCTATAATTTGGGTAAACCCATTGCCCTGGACCCATCATTTCATCTTCAACCCAATTTCCAATAAATTTAATACGTGAATTATTGAATTCATAAGTGCCAAGTCCATGTCTCAAATTATTTTTCCATGATCCTAAATAAATATCTTTGTTTGGATAATGATAAACACCAAAGCCATGCTTTAGATCATTTTCCCATTCACCTAAATCATCACAAATTATTATAATTATTGTGTTTTTAAACGATAAAAGAAAGCAAGAAACCACATGATTAAATTTTGTACTTTTATAGTTTTCATTGCTACACTGAAAAAAATTTGGAGTACTAATAACTAAATAATTTATATCGGTTAGAAATAAGACCAATAACATCATACAATTTTGACAGCAATCATTTTTTAAAATAATGAATAGTATATTAATCAGAAGATGTTAATATTAGAATTTTATGATCAGAGGACTCACTTCTTAGTAATGTAGATAGTTGTTATAGCTATCTAGTATTGCAATACTTTACAGAGTTTTTGTAAACTTTTTTTAGAGTAATCATCTTTCTAACCTCCATAATAGCTGTTATCAGGATACCAGAAGATTCCTCGGCCGTGTTTTTTACCATACTGCCAGTGTCCTTCATATTTAGCACCATTTTTGAAAGTGTATTCTCCATGTTCATGTCTACATCCTTGCCGATAATTGCCAACATAAATATCTCCAATGGGAAAATGTGATCCACCAAATCCATGCCTTTCACCTTTTTCATTCACTTCACCTTTGTATTTCAACTTTTTTTGTTTCATTTTTTCCAATTATTTATCCAGAAAGAAAATCATTAGACTATTTTTGAATTTCGATTTTGGTTTTATTTATTTGATTAAAAAAAAAAAAAGAACTCATTACAAATGGATATAATATAGTTTTACTTACATCTAGATGATGTTTTTCTTCCTCATATTCTCCTTTAAAATCTTCTTCATCAACAGAATTGCGCATTTCAACTAATCAATCAATAATGAATTAATGAATAGTCTATTTGGAATTTAGTATAATAAGTATTAAAAAAATGACATTACATTTATTACCAATGTTTCCTTTAAAGATTTTTAAATGTGTTTATTGTTGATAATGACAATTATTTATTTCCCTGGCAACTAAAGAAAAATTTCACACAAGTTGTATTTCATTTTATTATTCAATCAAATTCAATACTTTTCAACTTCTTCTACTATTTAATATCGGTGACTTGTAAATTATCTGCCAGTTAGAAGACCAATGAGAGCTTGCTTTTCTTTTTCTTTTTTTCTGACTGTTTCTAAATTTCGTTGTTTCCAGGAACTTTTGCGTAATTTTATCGGTCTGGATCCAACATATCGTCCTGTAATAATATAATAAAATAAATATTATTTATTGAAAGAAAAAATAAATGATTAACATTAATTTTAAAAAATCAATTAGACAATAAAATGCTAAAATTAAAGAAATGTTATTGTCGTTAGAACGTTCAAAGAATTACATGAATGAAAGATGCAACAGGCTGTGACGTAACAGGATGAGTAGATAAAAGTGATTTATCAAATGTAAGAAATAGGGGTTGGATATTTGAATAAATATCAAGTATTTTCAATAATTTTCCTTCTTACATAAATTTTTTTATCTTTTTTTTTTTTTTTTTGTTAAATTTAAATCAACATTTAGGCCTAACTTTCAACGATTATTTGTGCACTTATTGATTATTTATTTATCAATTACATTAACTATTAACACATTCCATTTGATAATATGATTCGACATTTTTCCTTTCTCTTTGTTATATTTACGTATTTTATCCTCCGAAATTAATTATTCATCATTATTATGTAATATGTATCAATTTTTATTTCACAACAGAATTCACCAATCATTGATGGATTATTAATAGTTGGCAATAAATAATTAATAATATGATGAACTTTCATAAATTGTTATTTTTACTTTACTTATTTTAAATAAATTGAAACAAAATGGTAGAATAAATATGTGATATTTGGTCAAGTATAAATTTCCAATTTATTATTACCTTTTTTTATCTGACATTAATAAACAATTATGACCACACTGTAAATTCAAAGCATGTTACAGTAAACATACCTATTCGTGTTTAATATTAAATTTTGTAAACAACCTATAGATTTTAACACACTTAAGGTGTGTCATTTTAACACACTTCAGATTTATAGTGACATTCAAGTAATTTGTATACCCACTTTTCATTGACGTTGGTTGAGTTTGATGGTGATAATTAATAATTGATTATCAATTTTTTATTGTTACTATTGTTGTTGATTATTGCATTATTGTTGTTTTGTTACAGAAATGTCACATGAGAATACAAAAGGTTAAAATGTACGTATAAAAAAAAATGGATCAGAAGTGTAATTAAAGTCACAATAGATAAAAGTTCTGTTGGACACACTGGAGTCTCTGAACAGAACTTCAAACTCTAATCATTTATCCGTTCATTTGTTCATCATTTCCATTTTTGTAAAATTATTATTTTTAACTATATTTCACTGAATATATAAAAATAAAAGAGAAATATTGTTGACTATTTTCTTTAAAACATTTCTGTAAATATGAAAATAAATGTCTTCGAATCTTCTACTATAGAATAATTTCAACTCCCACGTTATTTTTTTATTTCTATTTATTGACTATTTTATGTATTACGACTTAATTTTCAATCTCTTACAATAAGAAGACGATAAAATTTTTCAATGGATCTAAATCATAAGAACCAAAATACATTGAAAATATTGAAATCAACATTTTTGGGTTGAATTAATTATATTTCCTTGGTAGTATAATGGCAAATATCCCCATTTGTCACTAATTATGTAATAAAAAAAATAAATGCTTTAAGAATAACAATTTCAATTGAATTTTTGAAAGAAATGTGTTAAAAAATGAACTAATAAATAATAAAATTTTCTCTTTCATAAAATCAAATGGTCTGATTGGTTCGTTTGACACGGAGAATGAGGTGGGGAGGAAGATGATTCTTCACTCTCTTTACCGATACGTAGAGTTCGAGTAGGGGTTGAATTATAATACTGAGAAATCATTGCTGCGAGCATTCATTCACTCTTAATAAGTTCGCTCATAAAGGAGGATAATATCCTGACAGGAACTTGTTACAATAAATAACATTCATTCCAGTCTTTAACGGAATTCGTGTTGTTATTTTCATTGTCAGTTATTGTACAATTGATTTTATTTAAATTCAATCAAAAAGGAGTAATTATTTCGACACTTTTCACGTAAGTTCATTAGATTAATTAATATTTGAATAAAATCGAAAATGTAAGATTTATTTTAATTGTTGAAATGTTAAGAATAGTTGGAATTGTTTTTAAAAATACCTTATTATAAGGTAAAATTAGAATCATGTCACCCAAATAGAATAAACAAAATTTTTTTTATCAACGAATGTAGAATGAAAAGACTAGATGATTCATAAAATAAAATTGATGTGGCATTACAAACATTTTGGTTTTTTTAACTTGATATTATTTTAGTATATGTATCACTAAACTGTTTAATCATCGGCCACATTTATATCATGATCAGAAGGCGCCAATACTTAAGTTAAAAATACTTGGGAATTACTGAAAAATTTTTGCACTCGGTTTTCGAAACCTTCCGAGTATATTAAAAAATTTTACTTTTAATTTCATGTCCATTGATAAAGAAAATTCCTCATGGCTTTTTCTTCTTTTTTAGTCTAATATGGAGAATAGAAGCAAATTTTGTTGCAAAATCATCCTTACATTAACAATCATGGTGGTGTTTACAAAAAGAAGCGAATGCTATCCAATGTATCAACCAGACCGAGATATAGAATGGTGGAGAGGAAATGTCGTAGATCCTATGTGGTTATCAGCAAATACTCTGCCAGATGGAGAAAATCTACAGAATGAATACGATTTTCTTGAGTAAGTCAATTCCATCATAAACAGTTATTTTAAATAGAAAATATGTAAAGATTTATTTTCTTTATGTTGATTATTGACAATTGAATATTATTTATTTGTGACAATAATACTGTATTAATTTCTTCAGTATTTTTATGTTTAGTTTAAACAAAATAAATGGAATCTAACTTGGACAAACCAAAATAGATGGATTTATCAAATATAAATTAAATTCGATTATAATGGACTGTTTTTATTTTTATTTCATAAAAATTAATTAAAATGTCATTTTTTTTCTACACCGGCTATTAATCAAAAACAAAATTAATTTTTGATAGAATTCAACCTCAAAGACAAATGAATTTTATTGGCAAGCCAGAAAAAGAAGTATTTTTCATTGAAGAAACAGAGACAAGATCACCTCCAGTAATAAGACAAATTGACAGTAATCGATTAGTTAAAAAGGATTCATTTGTTTCACGTAATTGGGGGGCTGGAGGCCTTCCTTTTTCAGTTCTCTACATGAATCCACATGGATCAAGAAGTAATCAACCAACAGGTGAGTTCATTCAATTTTAATTAATTTAAATTGATAATTTACTCCGTTATTTTTTGATGAAAATGAATAATATTTAAGTATTAGTAAAATGACACAGTGATGACAAAAAAAATAATTCGTAAGCAAAAAAGTGTACGTGTCATTGTTTTTGTGACAATGAAAACCTTATTTCTGCCCGAGCCCACACATTTTAATTAATAACTCTTCAAATGTACATATTAAATTTTAAAAAATGAAAAATAGTTCGCCAACAATTTTACAGTTGTATCTTCTACACCATGATCTGTAGCAAAGGGTGACTATATAAGGGTGCAAATGAAAAGTCAATTCATATTACTCATTTGTCAAATACATAATCTTAAGATGTTTTATACTTAATCACATGACTTTACAAATTTTTTTCTGTTAAATTTTGTCCAATTATTCTTCTATTACTTTAATTAATACCTTCACTGTAGTATTATATTACTCACTAAAAAGTTACACATTAATGTTATTGTTAAAAGATCCAACGAAACAAGCAGATACCAAGAGACCAATGGCAGGAGTCGAGCCATCTGTACCTCCAAAAAACACCAACACTAGACTTACTACTCGAAATGGAATAAATGTACAGCAAAGACGACAATACTCCATTATTCCTCAACTTTTTATATCATATGGCTGGAGTTCTTTGGGAAAGTAATATCTGTTTGTCAAATCTTATCGGATGGTATTTCGGAAATGTTGATAATTCGATAATTATTGTGAGAAATTAAAGAGATCGTTTATTCATTATAACAGGACAATTAAATTACCTTTAATTATTCTTAGCAAATTATAAACTATTTATTCGTTTTTATCACGTACAAGTTGTTTTTAAACATACCAAAAAGTAATAATAATAATAAATCATTTTTTAGTCAATCTAAAATCTATTTGATTTGCTTTTGTAGGAATATCGAAAGAAAAAAGCTGGCCAACACTGAATGAAATCACTTGAATGAAAATATAATTAAAACCTTGAACAATTTTACATAACTCGAAGTGAATTGATGAGTTTTCCACAACTGGATTGCAATTTCTGTATTTAAACATTTACAAGAAATTGGGAAATTTATAAAAATAGATGTGACAGTATTGCGCACAATACACTGGAAAATCGAGTAAATATTATCATAGTTAATCAATTGAGAGATTTTTAAGGAAATGCACTCATTCATTTGAATTATAGATTGTAAAAAAAACATGATAAATTAGTGTAATTGATGTAATTCTTTTTGAATTATTATACACAATTCATTTGTTTAATTGTATATTTACTTATTTTAGTTAATTTATTTAAACACAGTAGCACATTCAAGTACTTCATTATTATCTCAACTATCATCAATGGTATTTTTAAAAGGAATATATTTATATTCATATATGTATATATATATATTATACATATGTATAAAAAATAAAAGTGAATAATGAAAAGAGTTACAAGTGGACTTACCGTTCATCTCCTTCATCGCTTTGATAAAATCCTGTGGATCTTTGAATGAAACAAATCCAAAGCCTTTTGTTTTATTAGTTCTTTTATCTCTTACTACTTTAGCTTTTTGGAAACTCGGATATTTTCCAAAAACTCGAACCAGCATTTCATCTGTTACGTCATTACCAAGATCTCCACAGAAAATTCTAAAATCATCTAGAGAATAAAACATAAAATTTATTTATTACTAGTACATTGTGATTTATAGTTGCAGAAATGATTCAATTAGATTTATTCAACCTTGTTAAATTCATTTAGAGTCTAAGCAAATAAAATTCCTGTCATGACTAATGGCTATTTTGTTAGTTTTTCATTGGTTGAAATAAATATCATCCCAAAATTAAAAAAGTAAATAGATGTGTCTTATAATTTTGATAGTACTTAAAAGAGCTCAAGTTTCGATCAGTTTTTAAACTAATTCTGTATGGCAAATTTTGTGGAATTTAAACGAAATGGGAAATTTACGACAAATTCTTTCATTTATTGTGTTAGAGGCCGTGTATTTTCAATACCCAATTACTCACAAACCATACGTCCAATAATTAAAATGGACTTTTTTTTATTTAATGTTAAATTTCGTTGTTTCGCAATTAATTTTCAGTTTATTAGAGTTTAACCACTTGAATCAATTGGAATTGGATTGTTTTTTGAGCATTAAAAGCTTACATCAGCAACAGAAGTCAAATAATAAAGATAATCATACCATCATCCCACTCAAGAAGTGAAGGATCTTCCCACGTTTGTCCTCCAGCCATTCTGATAATTTTTTTATTCTTTTTCCCTTTTCCCTTAGGATGACTTTCCTCAGCATTGGCATTGGCCATAATTGAACTGGCTTTTCCTTGACTGATAGCCAATTCCGCTGCTGTTGATACTCCTTTAACCTTGGGCTTCTTTTTTCCATCATCCTCAGGTATTTTTGTATTTATAATTTGTTCGATTATTTCTGGATGAATCAGCGGCGTTGATGTTGATTCGAATGCCTTTGGCGCCGGCGTCAAAATAGGATCCGTTATGTTGGATATGTAAGGATTGGTTATTTGTGCTGGTGACGAATAAGTTGTAATGGGAATATTGTTTACTGGAATATTTAATTTCATATTTATTAATAATAAAACAGACCAATATGACTTTTAAAATTCATAAATTTTATCTTACATATTTTTAACTTGAAAATAATTTACGTTCACATAACGTGTTACAACCTTTTTTTAGATAATTTTATGCTGGACAATAAAAAGACGTCATAAAATGAAGTTGTATTTCACACATAGCAAGTATTTTTAGCACACGTTATTTTACTAAGAGCAACACCTTAAAAGGTTGATACAGTCTTTAACCAATAATAAGATAAAATTTTTTCATTTTTCAAATAAATTTGATATTTTTACCTTGACGAGCGACTTGCGGAGGAATCAAAAGTGGTGGCGGTGGAGGAGGTGGAGGTGGTGGTGGTGGTGGCGGTGGAAATCCCATCATAGGAGGGAATGCTAAAGTAGCAGCGGCAGCAGCAACTGCAGATGTTGGGAGTTCATGTTGTTCCAATTGTCGTGCTACCTGGCTGTATGTATTGGCTCCAATGACTGGCCTTATCAGTGGAGTTACTATTTGTCCACCGATTTCCGCCTCAAACCTAGTATTTAGAACCAAGCAAAATAAATAGTAAGTTTCATTCTATTTACAATTACATGATAACTTTAATTTTAATTAAATTATATCTAGAAGAAAAATGCTCAAGTAAAACCTAACCTGCTCATCTCCTCTTCCATTTGACGCAGTTGTTTATCGTTCATGGTTGATATTTTTTTTCTAAAATATGAAAAATATTACACGATAATTGTTTATCGTAATTTTATATATCAACACTGTAACTCATTTGACAAATATTACGTTTATGTTAATAACCTTATTTCACACTGTGTTGAGCTACGACACCATGAAGACTATAGAACAGGAGTCCAAACTCTGTGTATAAAAGTTGAGCCGGAATTTTGAAAAAATAACGTTCGCGGGCAGAGTGCGCTGTGGTCGCTAAGTTACCGAGGTAGAGGGGGAAATTCCCGGTATATTTAAATACATGATTAAAAATATAAAAAAAATTGAATTTACTTTTGTATAGAAAAAAATTGATAGTAAACACAAAATTAAACATTATTATAGCAAGAGTATTAATTATATTATTAATAATCCTATTTTTGGAGGAATTGAACAATGTTTGAATGAAATTAAAAATAATTAAAGTATACTTAAATTTTATATTAATGTTAAATTATTAGGTATTTTAATAACTTATATTATCTAGCTTATAAGTACTACTTTCCATGACTGTTATATTATTTTTAGGAATAACATAACATTGAAAATATCAAAATATAATTTTTATCCAATGTATTTTATATAAATTATAGAGAAAATACATTTCTTATAACATGTATACAATAATTTTTTTTTTACAATATTAAATAATATGTTATTAATTTAGAGATTTTAATAGTCAATTTCCCATATTTTTTAAAGTATACATAATAACAAATTGTAAAAATTTAATTACCTATCTTTTATATGAACTGTGAACATTCAGTAAAATCGTGCATAAATTGTATTAATTTTCTATGATAATTATGTAATATTTAAATAATTTGTTTAAATTTATCATACATAGTTAGTTATCGGAGAAAAGTCTTTTCTCTGTCTAAATTGAAATTGAGAGAACTAAAACGAATGCAAATCCTACATAAACAGATGGTATTGGCAATTTATTATCATCAATATATTTTGATGACGATTAACGGATCGAAAGTAAAGTTTTCAGTCTTATTTGCGGGAATATTTCTATGGAATCTTTTCTTCAAAACTCTATCCATACAGTTATATGTTGAAGTGGCATCAAGTAAAAATTTCTAAGATCTCTTCGCAAGCAGAAACTGAAGATGGTTTAACTAGATTAGTTTTTGTTCGAATTGGACCACATTTACTTCATCATTTGCTATCCATCTCATCTACCGAATCCACAGCAAAAAGTGTGATTCAAACTAATTTCATCGGATTTGATTATTTGTACGTAGATTTCTATTTCTGTCTTAAATAAGTCGACATAATGAATTCAACTCAAAAAAGTTAATTTTTTTTTTAATAATTTGAGATGTTGATTCACTACAAACAATTTTATTTTATTTCTAGAAGCAACGTTGATGTGCAATGAAAAACTATCATCGCATTCAGTCCGCAACAAAACCATTGTCAGACCACGTTTACTTATTTCAGACATATGATTTGTAGACAATTAATAATCCAATAATGTCACATTCTTTTGCATCAATATTTTAACAATATTTTTTTATAAAACTTTTTAAAGACAGCGAACTATCATACCATCTGTGAGCGTAGGATTCATCAGAGAGAAATTCACCTCTCTGGGGTGTTAACAAATATTTGAAATTTCTAGCAGGAAAAATGATAGACATTGAAAGTATTAAAAATCCAAACTTACAAACTTAATATTTTATTGATTTTTCTTTAAAAAAAGTTTTTTTGAAAAAACCAATCATTGAAAATATTTTTTTATAATATTTCTGACGAAATCGACAAATGAATTAATTTTTGGTATATTTTGAAAAAAATTAGATTACAATAAATCATTGAAAACTGCATTTTTATTTTCGTTATAATTTATACCATAAAAACATTACAAGAGTATAAAAATCTGACATATGTACTGATGTCATTTCAAATACAAATCTCTTAATGTCTTTTCAAATTGGAAACACAAAAACATCGTATAAATTATTTTTCTGAATCACTAGGATGAATATTAGCATTATTATTTATTGGATATTTGACTGCTTCAAGATTGCCAGAATCACAAGCTGAAAGAAATGGAGTTCGACCTGCTGCATCTATAGCATCAATTTTTGCATTATTTTGACGCAACAATTCTATTTTTTTAGTTACCTCACGAAGCCGAATATAATTACTGTCCAGTGTTAATAATATTTAGCATTCTTTCGATAAATTTTGCACTGCTTCGCGCGATCTTCAAATTTGCGATTTGCATATTTTGCAAGAAAGAAACCTCGCATTACTAAATACTTGTCGATCACCCTTGAAGTTACTTCATGTTCATGAGATTCACAGCCAACATGTGGTAAATTTTGTTTTCCTGCTTCTTTGAGTATGTCGTGAAGAGTGTCTATTTGAACTTCCGATGTTCCAACTATCTTAAGAACAGATTTTTCTAATGTTCTTGTTAGTTCAAATAATTGTTTAGATTGATAAGAAAGGCCATCATAAAAATCTCTGAGCCGAATCAATTCATTACATTCATCGTTCCGTTCATCTTCCGTTGCTTGTAAAGTAATTTTACAATCTTCGTACCTTAATAAAATTTGCATTTTTTTAGTAATGTAACCAGCAATGAATGCTTGAACTTCATCGCTTGTATTAAAAATACAGTAATCATGCTCCGTAATATCATCTTCAACACAATCTCGCTCTTCGTTTTCAAAATTATCTTCTAATAATTCATCAATTTTATTTAACCACTCTTTCCTAGGTCTTTGTGTTAGGTACAACGAATCTTGAGTTTGCATTAATGTTGACAAAAGCTGAGGGCCAGAAACGTTACAGCCTTTTGGTGGACGAACTAAGGAGAAACACGATACGAGTCTGAATACTTGACCAAATAATTTTGGATCGGGGTGATCATTGGATCCACAAGAATTCCGCATGATAGAAAAAAATCTCTGTAATGAATCAAATAAAGATATGTTATAATATTCTTTGTATAATAATATGCAACACGTTATTATAATTATAAATTTTATATTTATAATCATGATATTTTAATTTTACAATTACGAACATCATACAAATAATAATATTATCCAAACTTATATTTACCTCCAAGGGATCTTGACTGAGACGAGATGTCATGAGATAATCGTACTCAAAATTATCACGTTCAAAATGAAACGAAATTATTATGTTCATCTGCATTTTAATGAAGTTAATAAATTAGGAATTTAATACATTATATTAAAATGAAATATGTAACAAATATGAAGTAATTTTAATATTACGTCAAATGTTACGACTACAGGTTGCCGACACAACAATTTAAAAAATAAATACATCATACCTTCTTAATAAGTCGATGACATCGTTGTCGGTAAATTTCCTTTTTTTGTTTAATACGAAAAGCAAGTGTCGAATCGCGTTTATATCTCATGTTTGCTTGTATTCTTTGGCGAAGTATGCGGCACGCTCGACAGCGAGGATTTAATTGCTGACGCTGATAATTTTCATTTGGTGTGATGATTCCACTACACTGGGTGGCATATCTGGAAAAACGATGAGAAATCCACCACACTTATCAATTATTTGTAATTGTGAATGTAGATGAAATCTATTATGATACATTTTTTCAGTTGTAATTAATATCAAAAAAATTGTAACAGAATAAAACAAACGTATTTAAAAATATTTTGACCTATTTTCATCAAATAATGTTCCGCAACAAATTGTGAGTGATTCTGCTTTACGCATAGATGCGTACAATTCTTCCATAGATGATACACGATCAGTGAGAATTATTTCTGATCGATGTGGCATTACAAGCTAGAATAATGACATACAATATTTAAAGTCAATTTGTTTCAATTATGTTCTATATAAATTTGATTGTAATTTAATTTATTACTGTAATTAATTAAAATTATCTAATTTTAGTCTATTTACTTATTTCTTAGTTTATATGATTTATTTTTCTTTGTTATTTTTTTAAATTATTTATTGTAATTTTATTTTATTGAAACATACAAATTGCGTTTATATTCTTACCGTAACAGAAAGATCAGCTGTTACTCGTAATCTTAATTTTTCCAACAAGCTACCTACATCGAGATGAATCAAAATCATATCCGATGATTGTACATAGTAACACTAACGTTCTGGTAAAACTGCCGAAAACGATGATACTACTTGCTCTAGTGACAATTCATTTGGTAAAGCTAATGAAACTGCAGATAAAGATGATGCAGTTTGCTCTAGCAACACTTCATTTGGTATAATCTGCAAAAATAAACAATTATTTTTATTTTCAAATATTTTCAGTTTAATAATTTTCAATGTTATCTTAAACTTTTTACCTCATCGCATTCCATTTGGGAAACTGATGGCTCAACAGACTGCTCCAATAGTAGTCCTGTTGGCTGTAAATTTTCAGTGTCAACTAGAAGAATTTGCTCTTCTTGAATAAATTGTTGATCAAAAATTTGTTGTTCTGATAGCGAACACGATTGTTCTTCTTCAGTAGACTTTAAGAATAAAAATATTTATTGATTAATTTTTTTTTCTTCTTATATATAAAAAATTACGTTAAGAGATTGGTTAAATACCTGATTGCAATTCATCGATTGCTGATTTTGACATTTTTCTTCTCTAAGAGGAATCGCGTTATCAGTTAAATGCCACCTTTCATTTTCTATGAAAATAGACTCCCCATTGATCAGAACTGATTTGCCCTTTACGATATATTCATCCAAAAAATGAAGTTCACAGACACGATCACTGTCTTTAAGTTCTTGTTGAAGAGCATTTACCCACAGTTGACGTCGAATATGACACTGTAAATTAATTTTAAGTAGCATTGTAAATAAATTTCATCTAAAAAACTCACTCCAAATGCAATGAGTGATACTCACTTTTGGAACTTGAAAGAGTGTTCTTTTCCGTAAACCTTTAGCTTTGCGTTTCCGCTCATCATCTGAATGACCGCTTTTGCATCCTTGCACAACACAACATTTTGTCATTTTTACACAATTTAAAAAATTTACAATTTATCACAACATTTTCCACTTAGCAAAAGGTTAGCTAAATTCAATGACGTCTTCTTACTAACTTCGCGCGTCTTACATGCTGCTAAATTCACTCGGTACACGACGTAATTCAGCACCACTGGTGGCTGGTTTTAGAA